CTCAAGCATGGTGCAGTCTCAGGCATCTTGGGCATCTTTTTTAAAACATTTATAAAGTTGTAAAAAAAACCTCATACTATCATTCTACACATGTGAGAGATTGGATACAACTGCATTACCATCTGTATACATCATACAACACCATAGAAATAACTGACCTGCTAAAGTATGACCAAAGGTAAGTATTTTCTACAATTTTGGATAGAGTAGGAAATAGATAACCTGTTTTAAGGCTTTTATTGCTATATGTGCCCCATCTAAGAGATTTCTCTTTACCCCCTGTCCTGTACACACAAATGGAAGTGAGAAAAAATGTTTCAAAAGTGAGAGAAATTTCCTCCAAGAGAGTCATCACCAAAACATCTTTCCCCATTGGATGATTTCTCCCCTATTCTTGTTCCGGTGACAAAGAAAGTTTGGATTTCCCTGACTTTCAGTCCCGTGTAATGGTCACCAAGAGAATTAAAAAGGGAAAAAAATCTCCCCTTTCAGACAGCTATAAAAACCCCATGTGCTATTGTATCCAAAAACTGAAAAGGTTTTGCATTTAGTTACATTTTAAAAAAAAGTAGTTGTTGAATAATGCAATGGTAGGCATTTGGCAGCAGTAGCTTCAAAGCTATGGTGGTCAATGGAACACTGTTCAATGACCAACTGTAAATATTTCTTACAGGGCACTTCTCTAGTGCATCTCCAGTCCTCTGGAACTCCCTGCTCCAGTATATCCGGTCAGCTCCTACCCTGTCTATCTTTAGGTGATTATTAAAAACTAATTTATGTAGGGAAGCCTACCACACCTCCACCTAAGAACTGTACTTGAGTCACCTTAATCAGATCACCCCCTGCAGCATTACCTTTTGTACCACCTCCCCCTCCCTTTAGATTGTAAGCTCCATGAGCAAGGTCCTCCTATTCCTTCTGTATTGAACTGTATTGTAATTGTACCCGCTTATGTTGTAAAGCTCTGCGTAAACTGTTGGCGCTGTATAAATCCTGTATAATAATAATAATAATGATAGACACTTCAATAGCAAAAACGTTTTATTGGATCAAGACTGATAAAATCTACTAATTACAAATTTCAGTTTTTATTTTGCTATAAAGGGGTAGTTTGGCTTTAAACTGTAACAATGTCTATCCTATAATTTTTTTTATAGAGCTTTTGACATCGTTATTTCTCAGGCTGTAAATAAATGGGTTGATAGTCGGGTTAATGATGGTGAAGACTATACTGATTGTTCGGTCATAAGTTGGTGAGTAGATGGACCTTGGCCGAAAGTACATGAATATTACTACGCTGTAGTAGAGGATGACCATGGTGAGATGAGATGAACAAGTGGTGAAGGTCTTTCTACTTCCTTGGGTTGACTTTAGGGTCAACACTGCTTTGATGATGAATACATAGGACCCAATGATTAAAAGCAGTGGAGTAAAGATGACAATGGAAGTTGCAATTAAGTCAGCTGTTTGCAAAGTGACTGGCAAGTCAGAACAGGATAGAATCATTATGACGGGATAGTCACAGTAGAAGTGTTGGATTACCCAACCACAGAAGAGCTGAGAAGAAGCCAGCCAAATGGTGAATGTAGAGTGGAGGCAAGCAATAATCAAAGAAAAAGCCATCAAACAGATATATGTTCTCTTGTTCATCATCAAAGTGTACTGTAGGGGAAAACAAACTGCACAGTAGCGATCAAAGGCCATGATGGTCAACAAAAAACTATCCATGTTGGCCACTAATGTGAAGAGAAAAAGCTGGAAAAAACAGCTTTGGACAGAGATGTGGGTGTCTCCAGACAGGAGACCATACAAGGCCCTGGGGATGATAATGGAGGTAAAACATACATCCAAAAAGGCAAGGTTCCTCATCAAGACATACTTTGGGGTGTGAAGTTGGTGCTGTGACATAAAAAGCACAAAGATGAACAGATTTCCTGTAATGCAGAGGATATACGCAGTCAAAAAGAAGCAGAGGGCAGGCAAAAGAAGATGAGGCAAATCGTTAAATCCCAACAGGACAAAACCAGAAAAAGTCTTATTTTCATGAAGCTCCATATGTATATTAACCAGTTATGTATATGATAAAAACACGTAGATTACTGGATGCAGCACATCTGAAGAAAGTGAAAATTTGTTTTAAAAAAAAAAAAAAAGTCAAATAGAAATAACACACAACTAACAAAATAAAGGACGGTCTGGATAAAAGCGCACAGATGTGTCCCAAAGGAAATAAGTGAATGGTATATGTCAACTGTGATTGGTGGGGAAAAAACTCACTGCTGCCATGGTAAAACACATCAGTTTGTGGGAAGTATGAACAGGAGCCAGGCGCTGTGTAGTTTTGTGATAAAAGTAATACACCTTACATGGAGGTGTGCCTTTAATAATTCATATGGTAAAAAATAGATAACCAGCCTGTGGCTTTAAGAAGCCAGGTTCCAAGATGGACGGCCCCATCCGCTCAGAGGGAAACAGTGGAGTAGAATGCCTGTCAGTGCAGGGACCACGTGTATCCGATGTCCCAGCGTCCTGGATGACATCACCACGATGTGGAGAGACGGAGGGGGGGAACTCTTGCTGGAGCCGCAGCTTTAGAAGGAAGAGGCCGGTTGCTGGGACAACATGTTTCGCGCAAGAGTTCCCCCCCTCCGTCTCTCCACATCGTGGTGACGTCATCCAGGACGTCATCAAGGACGCTGGGACGTCTAGTACATGTGGTCCCTGCACAGACAGGCATTCTACTCCACTGCTTCCTCTGAGCGGACAGGGCCGTCCATCTTGGAACCTGGCTTCTTAAAGCCACAGGCTGGTTATCTATTTTTTACCATATGAATTATTAAAGGCACACCTCCATATAAGGTGTATTACTTTTATCACAAAACTACACAGCGCCTGGCTCCTGTTCATACTTCTAACAAAATAAAGGGACTATGCAGACCAAAGCCGAATACACTGAAGGACAAGTCACACATATGCAATACTTATTGGGCGACCCAATGGAGATAGCTATGTAAGCTTTTGCGAGTGGAGTCACAATAGCCATAGCAATCCACATAGCTTCTATGGGGTCTGGGGGTGGATATGAGTCCCATTAAGGGAGCTGTAGGGAACAATTAAACATAGAAAATGTTTACAAAATTACAAATCCAGTACTGTATTTTTAAGATTTGAAAAAGTTGCTGTTGACGCTGACTCTGTACCTCTGGTGACTTTTCCAAACAAGGAGATCTGACATCAGACTTACAGGAGGAAACCGCAGAATCGTTGTCTCTAGTCACAAGTCCCCTTTATAGGCTATGCAGTAAGGGCAATGTGTTCAGCTGCCACTGTAGTGTAGATTTATTGCCCTCTGGTCAACTCGGTCAGCACTGAAATTAACCGCATATGTCTAAAGCAATCTTCTTCAGACTGTGAAAAGCCCAGTGACAAGATAGTTGTTTGCAGTTCTACAAAAAAAGAATTTTAGGAAGTTTTAATTATGTAATAAAATAAAGTATTTAAAAAAATGAACTGCGCTAACAAAAAGTGAAGCAAATGTGGAAACATTTTTTAAAAAAATGTGCTTTAATAGTTTTTCAAAAGAAAATATGAATCAAATATTGTATCCATAAATCCAGACAGATTACTAAAAAGTCCACGTGTTAATGTCCTCTATAATGTGTATAAGTGTAATATCACAAGTCAGTTCTCCACCACCAAGATGTAGAGAGTCTAGGATGGAACCACCACCAATGGAAAAGCCCTAACAACTATACATGACCTTCTAAAAAGTAATTTATGGAGCGCATAGGGAGGAGTTACATGCTGACGTCATTGCGTTCCAGTGATCCTGGAAGTGAGGGTGGATTTGCAGTATATGCTGACCGGATAAGGTTTTATTTTATTGTGCAGCTATTCATGTGAATGTAATACTCAGTTTAATGTTTTTAAGATTTTACACTATGTGGGTTGTTTGCTTTGCTTCATATCTTCTCATGAGTGCTGCTGGTATGGTGATGGGAGGAGGATTTCTTTGAGGATACCTGATGTTTCAGAAGAGTACCAACAGGAGTGATGTGTCCCTGGTGTTGTCTTTATCCATGAGCTCTATTGTATATGACTTTTAATCTTGGTGGTGGAGAACTGACTTTGGATTGTGTTTTTACGTTTATGCACATTACAGAGGACTTTATCACATGGACCTTTTGGTGATTTATCTGGATTTTGGATACATTATTTTATTAACGTTTGTCTACTCTTGAAACACTATTAGAGCGCATTTGGAAAAAAACATTTCCATACTTGCTTCACTTTGTTTTAGAGCAGCTCATTTACTAAAACACATATTCTCTATGACAAATATCTCATTTTTATTTTAATATTATTATTATATTATACAGGATTTATATAACACCAACAGTTTGCTCAGCGCTTTACAATATAAAGGGAGACAATACAGCAACAATACAGTTCAATACAACAGAGGTTAGGAGGACCCTGCTCCTTGGAGCTTACAATCTAAGAGGGAGGGACTAGTGGTACAAAAGGTAATAACTGTGGGGGATCGACTGGTAGAAGGAATAGTAGATTCTGTTATTATCTGAAGGCAGGAAAGGCTTCCCTGAAGAGACAGGTTTTCAGAGATCACCTAAAAGTGGGCAGAGTAGGCGATAATCTGATAGATTATGGTAGAAAGTTTTAGAGGATGGGGGAGCCTCTGAAGAAGTCCTGGAGATGAGCTTGTAGGGAGGAGACAAGGGAGCAAGAGAGCAGGAGGTCATGGGAGGAGCGGAGAGGACATTTGGATGATATTTGGAGACAAGGTTGGTGATGTTATTTGGGGCACAGTTATAAATGGTTTTATATGTGATTGTTAATGTTTTGAATTGTATTCGTTGGGCATTGGGAAGCCAGTGGAGGGATTGGCAGAGAAGGGTGAAGGACACTGAGTGGAAGCCAATGGAGGGGAATAGGCCAGGGGAGAGAGAGGGGTGGAGGACACTGAGTGGAGGCCAGTGGAGGAATTGGCAGAGAGGGATGGAGGACACTGAGACAGTGGAGGGACCAGAGGGGATGGAGGACACTGAGTGGAGCAGTGGAGGGATTGGCAGAGGGAGAGGGGTGGAGGACACTGAGTGGAAGCCAGTGGAGGGATTGGCAGAGAGGGATGGAGGACACTGAGTGGAGGCCAGTGGAGGGATTGGCAGAGAGGGATGGAGGACACTGAGCGGAGGCCAGTGGAGGGATTGGCAGAGAGGGGTGGAGGACACTGAGCGGAGGCCAGTGGAGGGATTGGCAGAGAGGGGTGGAGGACACTGAGTGGAGGCCAGTGGAGGGATTGGCAGAGAGGGGTGGAGGACACTGAGTGGAAGCCAATGGAGGGATTGGCAGAGAGGGGTGGAGGACACTGAGTGGAAGCCAATGGAGGGATTGGCAGAGAGGGGTGGCAGATATGGAACGGTTAGTGAGGTGGATGAGTCTGGCTGCAGCATTCATGATAGACTGAAGAAGGGATAACCTGCAATGAGGTCTGCCAATGAGGAGGGAGTTACAGTAGTCAAGGTGAGATATAACCAGGGAGGGAAGAAGTTGCTTAGTGGTTTCAGAGGTTTGTATTTTATACAGAAATGCAATGTTTTTGTTTTGTTCTGAATAAAATAAAATATTGTGATGATCATTATGATTATTGCTACTATGACACTTACTGCTAGACGAGTAGTTATCTGGAAAATAGCATTTATGATAAGATCATGACAGCAGGGAGGTTGCCTAGGAGGACCCCATCAAAACGTAGCCATTAGGCCCCATCAGCTGTAGTCCCACCCCTGGCTTCTACATCTTATAAAGAACACTATGCAGCAATGGTTGAATACGGTATAGCATCTATTTACAGTGATGTAAAAAAGTATGTGCCCCTTCTTGAATTTTTATTTTTTTTGCATATTTGTCGCACTTAAAAGATTCTGTGCAATGTAGATGTAATGTGCAATTTAAAACATTCAGAAATTTTGAAAAAATTATTTAAAAAAAGCATCAGGAAGTGTCAGTAGCACCTCCTAAAGGCCTGTCAGCCAACGCTATACCACCCTCTGAAGAGCAACTCACTATGGATTGCTTTTCAGAGGGCACTAAGCATTATTGTCTGTCTGAAAGAGATATTTATGTTTTCATGTGGAAGCTTCATAATTCAGATGATTACCTGTCATTGGCCTGGACACAGTTCATATTGTCTGTAGCACTCTGTAATGCCAGTTTCCGTCCTCCAAGGACTGTACTGCAGTCTTATATGCAACATGTGGGAATGGGAACTGCTCATAGCAATGTGTGACCCTCCACTGGTTTTATAGAACAGACGGGACACAGAGCTTCTTGTCACATCTGACAGTTGGAATCCTCAGAGATCTCAGCATCTCCCACATGGCACAATTATAGCTCCGAGCTGTCAGCTATGCAGGGAAGCTAAATCATTATTTGATTAGGAGAAGAGTGAGTCCTTGTTCTAATACTGACATATAAATCCTAGATTTAGGGATGAGGGTGGGACTTATTGCTATCATGGGTCAAAATTAGTTTGACCTAAAAGTTTCAAGGTTTGCTGCTAGAAGTAATGAATAACCTATGATGCAGCATATTGCCTTTGCCCCAGGTCATCTGAGTTTCAAGAGACAATAATATAAAAGGATGGATAACTCAGCCCCTTTTCTATAATATTTGGGCTCAGCATCCTTATTGTCACGTACATTGAAACTATGAAGGGGGAACTGGCAATTCTGTTTAAGGAGAATTTTTTGCAATTTGAAATTGGTTCATGTCCCACATGGCAGTGCCCAGCTACCCATGCCTTTAATTGACAATAGCTGGATTAATAGCCCTATAAATGGCCAGAATTGCATAACAAGATTAGTCCCACATCGACTTCAATGGGGTTCACAAATCTCGAACTTCGAGCAAAATTATTTGCAATTTGAACCCCAGCAGCTTCACTCATCTCTATTAATAATAACTAAGTGTAGCACTACCCCTGGAAGAGACACTTTGTTTTTTTGCCCAGGTTTCCCCTTATTTCACCCCACAGCCAAGCACAGTGTATTTCTTCAACCAAATGCACACACACAATTGCTCGTTGGCCGTGGATAAGGGGGTACCACCAGTCCTCCTGTATGGGGCCCAGGCCAGCAGGCGGTGGCCCAGGCAGCTGGGTGAAGTGGATATGAGCAGGGGAGGTGATGGACACGGCGGGGGGCAATTTCTGGATCCGATCCCCTGTATGGCTCTCTCTGCAGCAGCTAAAAGCTGGCTTCTTCTCCTCTCCCTCCCACTGGCTTTCAGCTGCTGCAGAGAAGAGCCATATAGGGAATTGGTTTCAGTAATTGCCCCCCTGCTGCACCTATTGCCCTTCCTGTGCACCATACATTTCCCCCTGCTGCCCAGGGGGGAGGAGCAGCTTTCAGGTTGGCTTTATAGAGCCCCGTGGTTTCTAACAGCAGCCCTGGTAGCATTACCCCCCGGAGGAGCCACTTGTATTTTTGCCCAGGTTTTTCCTTACTTCACCCCGCAGCCAGGCACATTGGAACAGTGTATTTCTTCAACCAAATGCACACACACACTTGCTCGTTGTCTTCAATGACCAGTCTAGGGGATATTTGTTTTTGGAGTTTTATTGTAAAACTGGAGATAGGGATGGGGGATTCAGAAGGATACTCCAAAATTAGAACTATTCACACTGAAGTAATTTGGCTGATCTCTTAGTTGGGCATTTTGAAGTCCTGGCTGAAAGCAGATAGCAGACTTCTCTTAGAATTGTAGCAGCAAGTAGTTTAGGAGTGAGCAAAGCCCCCTTTCTGCAGTAGTAGTACTTACAGGGCTGAGCTCTTCGGGTACAAGCCAGTTACGACAGACTATGACAGCCCAATGGTAATGTAGCTGAGCAAATTCCTTTTCAGTAGCAACAGTTGGACAAACTCTTCAGTGTTCAGCCAGTGTTCCCTTTTCTCAAACTCACATTGACTATCTAGCACCAGAGGGGCAGCAAAGCACACAAATTCCTCAATGTCAGTACTCACAAGGCCCAAGGACAGAATGGTTGCCTCCTTCCAATCTTCCAAACACATGTTTGCCAAACAGCTCCCCTCAGTCAGCTTACTGTAGAACCAGGGTCACTCTCTCAAACTTTAGGCCCTCAAGTCAACCCACCTGAGGCCGCATGGCAGCAGGTGACAGGTGAGGAAAGTCTGCTTCCAGCCTGGCTTGGTGCAAGCTACTCCCAGGAAAGATGCTGATCATAAATACCACTCCCAGCATGCAATGCGGCCACCCTCCCCTGCAATTGGATGGGACATTATCCATATTCATGTTGTTCATTTGCCCAGCCCCTAGCCATGTTCTGGAAGCCTCTCATAGCTTCCTGAATGCAGGAAGAACTCAAACAAACATCACCAGACCATCATGAGTAAACCTGGCTAGTCAATCACAACACTCTGCTAAGCAGAGAGCCCAATTAGATTTTCCCAACAGCCTCTCTGTTAAGCAGAGAAACACGGTGTCATGGTGTGCCAGGCTTGCTCCTCTCCCTCTGTCTCTCTCTCATCTGCACTGTAAGGGCTTCTCTCCCCCTCTCATCCCGTCACGGCTTTTTGAAGCCAGAGCCACCAGGATGAGAGGTGTGACTCTCATCAGCCCCTGTACCTTGTATCCTGTGTTCCTGTTCTGCCTATCTGATTTGTTCCGAGCCTGATGACTCTCTCCCTTGACCCTGGCTCGTTTTACTACCTCTCCTGGACTCCCTAATCTGAGCCACCGGGCGAGGAGATAGCCTCTGCCTAGCACCACGCTGGGAAGTTCACCACGATGATCCCCAGCCACCATCGCACAGCAGGGATCCCGGGACATCAGGGCATATACCTCTGGCGCCCCCCACGAGTGTACTCAGGGGCTGCGACCAGGCAGCAAGTCCATCCCCACCTGAGGGCCTGCACAGCCTGGGACTTAGACTCAGCGCCCTGGGGAATCCTGCCTGGGACTGCTAGAGGTACCACCAGACGGTTCCAAGGCGCCTGCACCTCTCCAGCCCTGACTACGCCTGTGTTCCACACTAATATTAGTGGAAGGTTGGGTGTTTACTGTGCGTTTTATATATTTGGGTGGCTAATAATAAATGTTGCATTCCTGAAGCCTGTTACTTCCTTGTGTCAGTCCACACGTTTCTGGTCACAGCAGCCCTGTCACTGGCTTTAATCCCATCAGGGTCTTTGCACTGAGCCACCAGGCCAGTCTCTCATCACCCTCCATCCCCTGCTCTCCCAGCTGCAGCTGTTTCCTGTTGGGAAGTTCACACCTCCCCAGCCACTCCGGGGCGGGCCCCCCCACCGAGATGTCCGGAGCAGCAGTCAACCTGACTGACAGCTGAGTACAGTGCAGGCAGAAGACCCCGGCCTGCACTCGCCAACAAAGGCCGTCTCTCGAGAGCGCCACCGTGTCAGGGGGCGTGCCTCATTGCATGGCAACGCGGTGCAGGGCTGGCTGTTGCCGGGGCAACCGGGAAGCATCCTGCCCGGACCAGGCCAGTCTCTTCCTCCTGTGCTGTCCACACAGCTGTTCTGTTGGGAGACATGGGGACCTCCGCAGCCATCCCCGCTGAGCACTCTGCAGGAGACCCTACTCCTCAAAGGTCAGATTCCACAGCCAGGACTCCGGCTGAGCTGTGCTGAGGTCAGGCCCCACAGCCAAAGTCCCGCTGAGTCCCCGTGAGGCATGTGTTGTCCCTAGAAAGCTGTGTGGGAGCTGTGCTGAGGTCAGGCCCCACAGCCAAAGTCCCATTGAGGCCCCGTGAGCATGTTGTCCCTATAAAGCTGTGTGGGAGCTGTGCTGAGGTCAGACCCCCAGCCAAGGTCTAGCTGAGTCCCCGTGAGCCCGCTTACCGGGAGTGTCCCTACAAGCCGTATGTTGCGGAGTGCCATGAACTGTCCTGATTGAGTGTCTTTCATAGTTCAATAAGCTTTGTGTGTTTCCCATCTTCTTTGTGTGTTCTGTCCTGCCTACGCTTCCGTTACATTGGTGGCAGCGGTGGGATGACTAGAACGCAGAAGAAGATGATAGAGAACGACAACACCCCACAAGTGCCTCCAAGGAGACTCGTTGAGGTCCCCTTGCCGGCACTTGTAAAATGAAGGGGGGAGGAGTTGTCACGGTGTGCCAGGCTTGCTCCTTCTCCCTCACTGCAGCTCCCCCCACCTCTCCCCCCCTCTCATCCTGTCATGGCTCTTTGAAGCTGAGCCACCCAGGATGAGAGGTGTGACTCTCGTCACCCTCCATCCCCTATCTCTCCCAGCCTGAGGGGGAGAGATAGTCTCCCGCTGGGAAGTTCACACCTCCCCAGCCACTCAGGCCAAGGAAGGGGCAGGCCCCCCCACCGAGATGTCCGGGCCGCAGCAGTCAACCTGACGCCGCACGGCCCTGACGAGTACAGCGCAGGCACAAGAGCTTCCCGCGCCGCACTCGCCAACAGACAAAGGTCGCGCTCTCGAGAGCACGGCCCGTGTCAAGGGGGCGTGCCTCATTGCCTGACAACGCGGCGCAGGGCCGACTGTTGCCGGGCAACCGGGAAGCGTCCT